TTTTATGACTTCGAATGAACCTGTTGAAATCATTAAAGCATTACTTGATCAGGAAAATGAAAAAGATCCAAATATTCGTATTAGTTATACCATTCATGATTCTGTGGAATTTCTTGATGTTCTTCTTGAAAATCTTCAAGGACAATTGAAAACATCTGTTTTTCGTAACCCAGCTGTTGAACCATATATACTTCCATATACTTCTGATCATTCACGGCATATTCATTCGAATACAACCCATACTGCCTTACTTCTTGATGTTCGTCTTTGTTCACACGTTGAAACATTCGATCAAGAACGATTAAATATTGAAATAGCCTTACTTTTAAATGGATATCCGCCAAAATTCATCACTCATCATTTTAAAAAATTTTAAAAAAGTACAATGCTTCATCTATCTATCAAGATTTACATGCAGAAACGTATAACCAAGTCCATCTTCAATTACTTAATGAATCCTTAACTGATGATCAAGTACCACAGCAATCAGAACAACAACAACTAGGTGAAGAAGGCAAGAATGAACACATAAAAAGTAAACCAAAAAAACAAATAGAACTCATTGTACACTATCGGTATGAAAGCGGACCATTAAAAACATTCAGTCGTGAATTCCGCAAAATTTGGAAAAAACATTTTTGCTATGAAAATTCATCCTTAAATAATATTCGACTAATACTTGGTACTCGAACAAACAAGACATTGGAACAATTACTAGTCAAGAAAAAACCATGTCGAACTCTATTAAGAAACATCGATCACAAAATCAGCTCAATAACTACGACAACATGAAGACATAACCGTATTATACACATTTTGTTACTTTTCATTGTACATATTTCCATTAGCTGGATAAAATTATTTTATCACTTACACCATTTGTTTCGAGAACTATATCCTATCTTTAGTATTAAAGTTATTATACATTGTTTTCTTCCATTATTCTAGATAACTACAATCAATTCAATATCGAGCGTCAACATTTGCAAATAACTTCAAAACCTACTCAATGATCTGACGAACCATATCCACCATCAGCAAAATCAAAATGGACACAAACGACAGAACATTACCAACGCACTACACACACCGCCAAAAATTCTAAAATAAATACATGTTAACATTACGTCTTAAAAAATGTCGTAAATTACACTACTTTTATTATCCAAGATACTAATAAACCTCAACTCCACAATGATCCCATAAGCTCACTCAATACCAAACACAAAAAACCACATCGAAAACAAACTCATCGGTCTCCAACATGATACAGCAATTCTCATAATTAACTACGACGCCATGATGATTACCAGTCGCCAATCAGCTACAACCCAGAGCATGACATCCATCCATCCATATACAACATCGACACAAAAAGCCTCCAGGCACACGATCACAAAAAGAGGTAAGCACAAACATTTTTTCCTTATCAAATAAAAAACAGCTTCCAATTTTAGCATAAAAACTAAAATATACACATCATATTAAGAATTCCAACTGATGAGTCCCGCCATGGACAGAAACAACCGTTGTCGTGGTTTGGCGATTATTCTAAATCATACCCACGCCCACACCTACACCCACACTCACCCACACCCACCCACATCCACCCAAACCCACACCCACACCCACACCCACACCCTCGATAATATATTTCATAAATTAAGCCATTTTTGACAGATCATGGTGCAACGTTATCAACGTTCGTCATCCGCTAACCCAGGTTGAAAGTGAGCCATCGGATTCTGTCGGATCTGTCTCAATCCGATGACTTCCGATGATTGAATCCGATAGAATTCTGATTGTCGGAATCTGATCGGATCTCAATTGATTCCCATAATTTCGGACACATTCCAATTACAGGATTCCGATAAAATCTGAAGGACGGAGCCGATAGTATTCATTTGTCGGAATCCAACCATTTCCATCAAGTTCCAAGAAGTTAGTCGTCGAGTTGCAGTGGAACATATGTTTTGCATATAAATTTATTACTAATTGAATGCTTTTTAGATTCCAACGAAAAAAAATGAGCTCAGACATGCTGACGAATGAGCAGAATGAAGAAACATTATTACAAAATTATTACCGAAGCACTATTTTCCAAATAAAACTGGATGATTTCTCATGTTTAATATTTATCTCGCTACCGCAATAAGAATGAAAGCACCAAATCGATTAGAGTGTTGCACGAGATTAGTATTATAAACATTTAACTAAGTACAAGACTTGAACGCTCAATTAGTAATAAATAGGCATCAAATACTTTCGATATGAGCAGTGTACATGAGCAAGAGTTATTTAGGCAAAAATAATTTCTCATATCATAATATTTTAACTGTATCAATGTACAGAATACTGATCAGTGGTCTCTTTTCGTTATTGTATGCTCCTATTATTTGTACTTATGTGCTTTTTCCGAGGCATCAAAATTATTTGGCAACAGTTCTTCTCTACCGCTTATTAATTACATGGTAAGCATCTTTTCTTTATTCATTTTGCTTTCGACTGAGGGTTGATGTTCTCTCGTGTTAGTTACAGAGTGAGACAAAAACGTAGGTACTTGTTAAAAAAATGTCTTCTTCTCTTTTATCCTAGATCTGAAAAGGCTCTAATTACGATATAAAATATTTTGCAACCACACGAATCACACCATAAATTTCCAAAACTCTATGCCTATCACTACGGAAGGTATATAGCTGGTACTATAGAGAAGCCGTTATTGTGTGACCAATAGAATTTCTTATATATAAGGAATTACCCAGAATAGTAAGTGTTTATCATAAATACAATATCAAACAATACAGTAATTTATATTTTTCTCTTATTATAGTCGTTTTCTATTGGTTGAAGGACCTTCACTATTAATAACACACTATAATCTTTTGCAGCGTCGAACTCATTCAGCTTCAGCACCATTACAAATTGAGTGTCTTCCACATGAGAAAATTTATCGAAATGAACGACCGATAATCAGTAACAATCATCCTTTTACACATAGCCAATTAGAGATGACCACCTTTCCACCAACATATTACAGATACCCAATTAACCTTTTGGCATAATTAATTCAACTGTACTCTGCCAATATTTTCTCATTTCATTTTCTTCCATGCCACTCTTTTTTTATGGCTTCATGCAAGTCTTCAGTACTATGCATTTTTCAGTCATGTGAACAGAATTTTCTCTATAGTATGAGCCATATCATTTTTCCTTAAGCTAGTGCTGCGCTTATGAACATTTAGGATCTTATTCAGTTATCTACAAAATATTTTCTATCCTACTTAGAACATTCAAGAGTTTATAATAACAGAGAGAAAAAAGCATTTCTAACAAGTACTAAAACTTTTACCTTAATCTATAGGCATACGGGACTCAGATTATAACCATCGCCCTAACAGTTGAAGATTATAGTGATAAGAATATAGACATATGGGGTACGGGTGTAAGGGTATGGGCATACGAGTATAGGTATAAAGATATAGGCATAGGGATATAGGTGTAAGGGTATATGTTTAAGGATATAAGTATAATGGTATAGGTATAAGGGTATAGGTATAAGAATATAGGTATACGGGTATAGATATAAGAGTATAGGTGTAAGAATATAGGCATAAGGGTATAGGTATAAGGGTATAGGGATAAGGGGATAGGGATAAGGGTATAGGGATAAGGGATAGATATAAGGGTATAGCTGTAAGGGTATAGGCATAGGGATATAGGGATAAGAATATAGGCATAAGGATATAGGTCTAAGGATATAGATCTAAGAATATAGGTATAAGGGTATAGATATAAGGATATAGGTATAAAAGTATAGGCGTAAGAATATAGGCATAATGGTGTAGGTATAAGGTTATGGGTGTAAGGTTATAGTTTACGGATTATTAATTTCTTTCCCCTGTGTTTAATGACTATATCTGGGTTTCTCTCGCGTTTACTTTCTCAATAAGATGATAAGAGGAGCAGATAATGGATTTTTTACCATTGTAGACAAAAATCTTAATATTTATTATATATTTAACAGATGATAGTGAATCGGAAAGAGAACAGCCACTGAAGCCTAATGATTAAAATCCGATTGGATCCTGTCGAATTTGTTACATTTCGTTGCAGGATCCGATAAAACCTTACCGAATCCTTTCATCGGTTCTTGTCGGATCCGATAAGATCATTTCCCAGTTAAATGTCTGTCGGATTCCGGGTCACTGGATTCTGAACTCAATCCGATAGAATCCAACTATTTCCGACATAACCCGCCATTTAATCCGATCGAATCCGACAAGATTCAATGGTTGGATTTCTCGACCTGGGAAGACAATGGTCGGTGTATCACCTGAAGTGCCTATTGATGTTCTTCATTGTCCTTACAAAACTGAAGAATTATCACATTTGTCTCTAGGTAAGTATATGAATAAACACAAATGACAACTATTTGATGCTGATAGTTTCATGAATTGTTATATTTTGTAGGTCCGAATTATGCTCGACCAAATCCAAATGCACTTCGTCCGATAAAACATCGTAAAACTCAAATACAATATCATCTCAAAGATATTAATGAGAAAGTTAGATGTCAATTGAAGAACTACTGTAACAGAGAATCTCCAGCAGCAAGAATGAAAGAGTATTCTCAATTAGTTGAAAATCTACTTCGACAACATTATATAGCTCCATTATCCTATGTTGATAACATGCGTGCTCAACGCGAATTCAAATTAGTAAAGTCTATTCGACGAAAAGCACAAAAAGCAAAACTTATTATATGGGTTTGTGATAAAGGTGGCGGCTTACATATTGAAAATAAAAGTGATTATGAAAGAAAAGCAGCAAAATATCGAGAAGATAAAAACGCCTATCAAGAATTATCATACAATCCATTGATGGAAATATTAACTAATGTAACAAATGCGCTTAATGTTCTCAAGAATAACAAGCAATTGGTACTCAAAGATTATAATCGTCTAATGCTCAAACCGGATCTCGTCAGATTATCTTATATGTATTTTAATCGTAAACCACACAAGATTACATGTACTATTCTTCTTTGATATTTTTTCAAGTAATGTTGCGTTAAATATGTCATTTTCCTTCTTTTATTGTTGTTTAGGAAGGAACGCCATTACGACCCATTCTGAATACCATTAAAGCAGTAACAAGACCTATCTCCGATTTCTTAAATGAATTGATTCGACCTATCTACGATCAATATAATCAAGATAATACAATTATTGATGGTGTGAATCTTATCAAACGTCTCGAAAAATATGCTGCTGGTGGTCATCTTAAGCCGTCGACTCTTTTCTGTACTTTAGATATTAATAACTTGTATACTATGCTGCCACAAGATGAATCCGTTCGAATTCTAGGCGATTTTCTTCATCACTATGTTGGTGAAAGAGTTAAAAATATCTGGGTTGCCACCATTCAAAAATTGACCGAAATTGTTTTGAAAGAAAATGCTTTTGTCTACGATCATAAATTCTATAAACGGATTATTGGTGGTGCGATGGGTTCACCATTTACATTAATTCTAGCCAATATATTTATGTGGCTTTGGGAAAAACGTAGGGTTCGATGACAAAACAGTAAGGAAGAAATCTATGGCCGGTACGTAAAATCTAAATACCCCTAAATATATGTTCGATTATTTCTATTTATGATCTTAGATATATCGATGATGTCTTCTTTACATCGAACGAAACCATCGAAATTGTTCGACAGCTATTGCAGGATGCGAATGAATGGCATCCGAATATTAAATTAGTAGAATCGAACATTGGAAGTACTGTTCCATTTTTAGATGTTCTTTTGACTAATAACAATGGAGTTCTTCATACATTCGTTTATCATAAACCTTCGGCTGAACCATATGTCGTTCCATTCCTTTCGGATCATCCACGACATACATTTCCAAATATTTTACAAACGACTCTTGTACGAGCGATTCGATATTCATCGACATTCGAAGAATTTAATAATGAACGACATGCTGTTCGCTTTATGTTATTATTTAATGGGTAGGTCTTCTATTTCTATGATGATATGGTATTCAAATCGTTCCATTGATGTTCTATTTTAGTTATCCGACCAGATATATTGATAGACAATTTCGAAAAATCTTTGGTAATTACATTTGACCCGATTCAATCTTACTATTAATCGATACCGAAGAACAATTTTTTCAATTACCCAAAGAATACATGCAACAACCGACGGCTCGACATTCTCAAGTCCAAGCACGTATTGCACAATACAAGGAAAACAATGAAGAACATCAAGTCGAACAACTTGTAACAGCAACATCGACAACGACAAGAAAACAAAAAAAGAACATATTTCAAGATGCAGTGATTATACATTATACACATGAAAAACGATTTACAACTATGAAAAAAGATATGCATCAAATTTTCCATGAAGCTTTTCAAGGTTTTGGTATAGAAGCTGTGAGACTTATTGTTGGTCATCGGAATGGTTCGAACTCGGAATGTGAACTCATACGTAAATGACCGCCTCTCAAGTACCTTATCTCAAAAGGGTAACAAAGTAAGAATTTTAATTTTGAGAGCATTCATCTTTCTTCTTGTCTTTTGCTTACTACTATCGCACCAAATCCTATTTCGCGTTTCATATGGTTGACAACAAATACTGCTCTCCAACCACCAATGGTGAAATAAACATGAAAAACAACGATGGTCACAGAAGATTCAACAACCCACTGCAATCAATAAAATATTTGTTATTTTATGTTAGATATCTTAGTTTTACGCTTTTTCTTTCTCCTTCTCTTTTTTCTTTCTTTTTGCTTTCGTCACTCATATTAAATAAAACGAACATTGGACTCATCGAAAGATCCACTATCAATATATTCAGCAAAAAAACAAACAAAAAACGTTTTCATTTTAGATGATTTTTCTTCAGCGAAACTTCATTCATCTGCCACATATGTCGAATCCAACAAATGAATACCATATTTTACTGCTTCAATCATATAAATTTCGTCACCGAAACTGAAATGTCGTTAGCCAATATTCTAATTTCTTCCTCAACAGCCTTACATTGTTTCTCTATAATATACAGAGATTCTTGTGAACGTTATCAATCCAATCATTGTACCCTATCAACGCCTCTCATTTCTCCATATTAATATTAATCATCTTACGGTACCAAGACGTTTCAATTGAATAGTATTCATTTTGCGAAAATTAGTTCGGTAACAGTATAGAATTAACTTTGTTTCGAAAATTTCTCTTTGAAATTATTCGTTACGAGTGCCATTTGAAAATTCTCGTTGTTGAGATGAAATACCGATATCATGGTAGCTTAACACACCCACACCCTCAAATTTGAAAAAGAGATTTTGTTGATAGAAAATCCCTTAAGGGAACCGTTGCCGTAAATTTTCATCCAAAAAATTTCTTTTGAAAAACTAACAGAATATACATCATTCGATGCAATTTCGTGTGCTGGATCCAAATATGCCATTACTTTTTAATTAAAATGCTTCTGAACTGAGGAAAATATCTTTTATCTTTAAAAAAACAAGGATTTGGGATTTTTTAGGGAAACGTATATTTCAATCCGGAAGCATTTGTGCATACACAGTAGTTGCATCATATTCGGTAAAACGTTCTGTGAAAATTTCATCGAAATCTGAGCTGTGCTAACGTGTCCTTAGTCACTGGCTATCTGTAAAATACGCGAACACCTTGAAAGAAAGGATAGCTTAAATCTATTTATATAGGCAGATAGAACTCGATGAGTTGTACTCACGAACACCTGCGAACACCTATTTTGAATGGGTCTGAAAATAGATTCGAATGGTACAAGTGAAAATTTTTATGCGAACACTACTTCTGTATTTGCGAACACCTCTTAAACATGCTTGAAAATCTGCGAACACCAGACCAATGAAAATAAACACTCCTTCCCTCCAATATTGACCCAAAACTTCTATCACTCTGTGGGGACTATGTCTATAAGTATCTACTAACTTTTTTTTAACAGTACTTGATCATAGATAATCGTGCACGAACACCACGAAAGTACTTATGAAAATCTACGAATACCAGTTATTTGAGAAGATCTCGCTTGAAAACATAATACAAAACCTATTTGACATGGTTCTTCCGAACATAGTAGATGAAACAATGATCTCAATGTTAAAGCTTGATTATGAATCATGGTAAAATAACTCATGATCAAGCTTTTACATCGAGATCATGGTTCATCATCTACTATGTTCGGTAAAAACCACGTCAAATAGCTTTTGTATTATGTTTTCACGTGAGATCTTTTCAAATAACTGATGTTCGCAGATTTCCGAAAAGACTTTCGTGGTGTTCGCAGATGATTATATGTGTCAGAGTGCGATAGAAAAAATGTTGATGGATATTTATAGACATAGTTTCGATAAAATGGTAGAAGCTTTGGGACGATATTGTAGGGAAGGAGTGTTTACTTTCATTGCTCTGGTGTTCGCAGATTTTCAAGCATGTTTAAGAGGTGTTCGCATAAAAGTTTTGACTTGTACCATTCGAATCTATTTTCGGACCCATTCGAAGTAGGTGTTCGCAGATGTTCGTGGGTGCAACTCATCGAGTTCTGTCTGCCTATATAAACAAATTTAAGCTATCTTTTCTTTCTAGGTGTTCGCAGATGTTCGTGGATGCAACTCATCGAGTTCTATCTGCCTATATAAACAGATTTAAGCTATCTTTTCTTTCTAGGTGTTCGCAGGTGTTTGCGTATTTTACAGATAGCCGTACTCACTTTACTAAAGACATCTTTTTGTAACATCTCACTGAAGGAAACAATGCTAAATCTTTCTGTTGATTAGAAAGTCTTAGAATTTTTTTTGTAAATCGATAGTCGCTTTCATAATCTAAGTGACTTATTTATAAACTCTTTCTATCTTCTGTGAAAAGACAAGTTTTTTTCTCATGTCGCTGAAAAGCGTTCTATTGGTGACTAAGTCTTTTTAAGAATTCAAACAGCTGAAATAAAATCTTTCGCTTCATTTAATTGGCCATGAGCCAAACTATACTCTACATTATTTAAATATTACTTTCATTTTTTCGCCTAATATCCACGTTGTTGTCCATTGTGCATCCATCCCGTAATCTTTAGGTAGTTGAAGAGTGGCATTATGTGTCTTACAACCCTCTCCCATATTATCATTTATCACTTTTGTCGATCCTCTCCTCTCTCTTATCAGGTGGCGCCATTTCCGAACAGTCCCTGCTAGAGATAATCTAACTTTATTTTATTTCGGTCCTTGGGCACACGCACACCACGAAATAAACAGGACACGCGTCTTTATATAGGCATAGAAGACGAGGGAAAAGAGAAAAACATAGTAAAGACGACATATGATCTTGTGCGTTAACACGGATCATAACATTCTCTTACGAGATGGTACATGCTCTGCTCTTGACGGGATCGGCATGTGCAGCCATCTTTTTAGCGCCCGATGACGCTTGAATGTTGACATTTTTCGAATCTTTGAGCGTTCCGACAAGTGCTTCATCGTTTTTGAAATCGCGGGGATCGAATTTCAATTCCTATATGTTGAAAAAGACACATTTTTCAAAAATGCTATTTCCTCATCTAATATGAATATATTTTATACTTCTTCTCTCTTTGGATTGAGTCGACCTGCTTCACTTTCAATCTTTACTGCCCATACCGGTGCCACATCCATGTAATCTTTATGCATTTTTGTAAGAACCATCTGATTGTTTTCGCTAGCAAAACATTTAATTTGATCTAGACCATGTTAGTTCAAGTAACTTACTGTTCATATGCATCGATCACTTGGCTGATGGCTGCTTTATGCTTTTGGAGATGCTGTATTTCTTGTTCGGTAATGGGAATTTTACTAGAATATGATATATGGAATAGTGATGATGGATAGAGTAATAATGCATACACGGTCTCGGATTGTATATGTGCATCGATTTGTTTTTGATATCGCTGTTCTTCTTCTTGAATCGAATGTATAAGATCTTGTGCATGTGTTGAAACTTTCGTTTTCATCACTTTATACGTTTCAAGACGATTATTTCGACTGATATTCAATGTCTCTATTTCGAAAAGAATATCATTTGTCAAAGTTAGAAGATAATATAAAATAGATACATACGACCTAAATTGATCAAGTCATTGACTGTAATCGTAGCTTTATGAAGCGATTCATCGACTCCCTTCTTTTGAGACAGGTGATGTTTTGTACGGCAATCAGCACACAATACTTTATCACAATGTAAACATACACGTATTTCCGTTGTTTGCTTGCACTGTGCACATTGAGCTTGAATTGTCGATGGTAATTCGTCAGTAATGGCGGAATACGGGTCTCGGCTACATTCAAAACGAACAAATACATGTAGATTTCGAGCAAAAAACGACAAGAGGAAAATTTTGCTACATCGTCACGGAATAAGTTTTCTCACTGCAACTAGGCAATGATACAGAATCTGCTGAATCTTTCGCGTGGCAATTGCAAAAAACCGAAAAATTTGAGTCCATGCCGGAAATGAATTACAAAATAATTCGAAATTCATATAAAATCTACAAGAAATCTTCAACAGAATTTCCGTTAGACTTTCTAATATAATTTCATAGTATTTCAATAAATATTTGTATAAATTTCTATTAGAATTCTTATTACTTGGTCTACTATTCTCTACTAAGGTCTCCAGGATCTAGCAGGGTCTGCCAGGATCTCACTTTGTATTTCTGTATGAATATGTTTCCACCCTCATCCTCAGTCAGATGATGCGCCCTGTGTGCGTTTTTCCACCCTCACCCTCACTCAGATGACGCATCCCGTGTGTATTTCCGCCCTCATCCTCAAGAAAGTCATACAGAGCATCAAATAACCTGGTAGATCCTAGTGGACACTAATAGATCAGATCTTCGTTCGGTTCCAAAAATGTCTAGAAGAGTTCAGAACACAGGCGGTGGAATAGAAGAAGCTGGGAGGACTTCAGCTACCTCAACTTTTAAAACACTGAGAGAATCTCTTTTCTCTGTGCGAGTCTCACCATTACTCCACCCCTCCAACGCGTGACTTATTCCGCCATCCCCTGGTTCAGAAAAAAGTTCCTTCTTTCTACGATGGCCTCTTCCCCTAAAAAATTCCTAACTCCAGACCTGCAATTAGAGCCCATCGGGTCCGGGTCCAATCAAAAGAATTCTATCGGGTTCCAGTCTAAAGTAAGTGTTGGTACTCGAAAGAGAAGTCTCTGCTCTTACTCGCGACTTTTTCGAAATCTTGTCAGTTCTCGATTAGATGTTTTTTATGGATTTCCTGGAAATTCTTTAAAGTCTTAGTATACCTGATCAATGTTCAGATGTAGGAGGTAGAATAGGTACAGGAGGTGGAGTAGGCACCGCAGNATTATACAAACGGCTCTTGTACGAGCGATTCGACATTCATCAACATTCGAAGAATTAATAGTAATGAACGACATGCTGTTCGCTTTATGTTATTATTTAATGGGTAGGTCTTCTATTTCTATGATGATATGGTATTCAAATCGTTCCATTGATGTTCTATTTTAGTTATCCGACCAGATATATTGATAGACAATTTCGAAAAATCTTTGGTAATTACATTTCACCCGATTCAATCTTACTATTAATCGATACCGAAGAACAATTTTTTCAATTACCCAAAGAATACATGAAACAACCGACGGCTCGACATTCTCAAGTCCAAGCACGTATTGCACAATACAAGGAAAACAATGAAGAACATCAAGTCGAACACCTTGTAACAACAACATCGACAACGACAAGAAAACAAAAAAAGAACATATTTCAAGATGCAGTGATTAAACATTATACACATGAAAAACGATTTACAACTATGAAAAAAGATACGCATCAAATTTTCCGTGAAGTTTTTCAAAGTTTTGGTATAGAAGCTGTGAGACTTATTGTTGGTCATCGGAATGGTTCGAACTCGAAATGTGAACTCATACGTAAATGACCGCCTCTCAAGTACCTTATCTCAAAAGGGTAACAAAGTAAGAACTTTAATTTTGAGAGCATTCATCTTTATTCTTGTCTTTTTCTTGCTACTATCGCACCAAATCCAATTTCGCGTTTCATATGGTTGACAACAAATACTGCTCCTCAACCACCAATGGTGAAATAAACATGAAAAACAACGATGATCACAGAAGATTCAACAACCCACTGCAATCAATAAAATATTTGTTATTTTATGTTAGATATCTTAGTTTTACACTTTTCCTTTCTCCTTCTCTTTTTTCTTTCTTTTTGCTTTCGTCACTCATATTAAATAAAACGAACATTGGACTCATCGCAAGATCCACTATCAATATATTCAGCAAAAAAACAAACAAAAAGCGTTTTCATTTTAGATAATTTTTCTTCAGCGAAACTTTATTCACCTGCCACATATGTCAAATCCAACAAAGGAACACCATATTTTACTGCTTCAATCATATAAATTTCGTCACCGAAACTGAAATGTCGTTAGCCAATATTCTAATTTCTTCCTCAACAGCCTCTCATTGGTTCTCTATAATATACAGAGATCCTTGTGAACGTTATCAACCAAATCATTGTACCCTATCAACGCCTCTCATTCCTCCATATTAATATTAATCATCTTACGGTACCAAGACGTTTCAATTGAATAGTATTCATTTTGCGAAAATTACTTCGGTAACAGTATAGAATTAACTTTGTTTCAAAAATTTCTCTTTGAAATTATTCGTTACGAGTGCCATTTGAAAATTCTCGTTGCTGAGATGAAATACCGATATCATGGTAGCTTAACACACCCACACCCTCAAATTTGAAAAAGAGATTTTGTTGATAGAAAATCCCTTAAGGGAACCGTTGCCCTAAATTTTCATCCAAAAAATTTCTTTTGAAAAACTAACAAAATATACATCATTCGATGCAATTTCGTGTGCTGGATCCAAATATGCCATTACTTTTTAATTAAAATGCTTCTGATCTGAGGAAAATATCTTTTATCTTTAAAAAAACAAGGATTTGGGGTTTTTTAGGGAAACGTATATATCAATTCGGAAGCATTTGTGCATACACAGTAGTTGTATCATACTCGGTAAAACGTTCTGTGAAAATTTCATCGAAATCTGAGCTGTGCTAACGTGTCCATACTCACTGGCTATCTGTAAAATACGCGAACACCTTGAAAGAAAGCATAGCTTAAATCTATTTATATAGGCAGATAAAACTCGATGAGTTGTACTCACGAACACCTGCGAACACCTACTTTGAATGGGTCCGAAAATATATTCGAATGGTACAAGTCAAAATTTTTATGCGAACACCACTTCTGTATTTGCGAACACCTGCGAGCACCTCTTAAACATGCTTGAAAATCTGCGAACACCAGATCAATGAAAATAAACACTCCTTCCCTACAATATCGACCCAAAACTTGTACCATTTTATCGAAACTATGTCTATAAATATCCATCAACAATTTTTCTATCGTACTCTGACACATAAAATCATCTGCGAACATCAGTTATTTGGAAAGATCTCACGTGAAAACATAATACTAAAGTTATTTGACGTGGTTCTTACCGAACAGAATAGATGACATCATGATCTCAATGTGAAAGTTTGATTATGAATTATAGTAAAATAACGCTAGAGATAATCTAACTTTATTTTATTTCGGTCCTTAGGCACACGCATACAACCAAATAAACAGGGCACGCGTCTTTATATAGGCATAGACGACGAGGAAAAAGAGAAAAACATAGTAAAGACGACGTATGATCTTGTGCGTTAACACGGATCATAACATTCTCTTACAAGATGGTACATGCACTGCTTTTGACGGGATCGGCATGTGCGGCCATCTTTTTAGCGTCCGATGATGCTTGAATGTTGACATGTTTCGAATCTTTGAGCGTTCCGACAAGTGCTTCATCGTTTTTGAAATCGCGGGGATCGAATTTCAATTCCTATATGTTGAAAAAGACACATTTTCCCAAAATGCTATTTCCTCATCTAATATGAATATATTTTATACTTCTTCTCTCTTTGGATTGAGTCGACCTGCTTCACTTTCAATCTTCACTGCCCATACCGGTTCCACATTTATGTAATCTTTATGCATTTTTGTAAGGACCATCTGATTGTTTTCGCTAGCAAAACATTTAATTTGATCTAGATCATGTTATTTCAAGTAACTTACTGTTCATATGTATCGATCACTTGGCTGATGGCTGCTTTATGCTTTTGGAGATGCTGTATTTCTTGTTCGGTAATGGGAATTTTACTAGAATATGATATACGGAATAGTGATGATGGATAGAGTAATAATGCATACACGGTCTCGGATTGTATATGCGCATCGATTTGTTTTTGATATCGCTGTTCTTCTTCTTGAATCGAATGTATAAGATCTTGTGCATGTGTTGAAACTTTCGTTTTCATCACTTTATACGTTTCAATACGATTATTTCGACTGATATTCAATGTCTCTATTTCGAAAAGAATATCATTTGTCAAAATTAGAAGATAATATAAAATAGATACATACGACCTAAATTAATCAAGCCATTGACTGTAATCGTAGCTTTATGAAGCGATTCATCGACTTCCTTCTTTTGAGACAGGTGATGTTTTGTACGGCAATCAGCACACAGTACTTTATCACAATGTAAACATATACGTATTTCCGTTGTTTGCTTGCACTGTATACATTGAGCTTGAATTGTCGATGGTAATTCGTCAGTAATGACGGAATACGGGTCTCGGCTACATTCAAAACGAACAAATACATGTAGTTTTCGAGCAAAAAACGACAAGAGGAAAATTTTTCTACATCGTCACAGAATAAATTTTTTCACTGCAACTAGGCAATGATACAGAATCTGCTGGATCTTTCGCGTGGCAATTGAAAAAAACCGAAAAATTCGAGTCCATGCCGGAAATGAATTACAAAATAATTCGAAATTCATATAAAATCTACAAGAAATCTTCAACAGAATTTCTGTTAGACTTTCTAATATAATTTCGTAGTATTTCAATAAATATTTGTATTAATTTCTATTAGAATTCTTATTACTTGGTCTACTATTCTCTACTAAGGTCTTCCAGGATCTAGCAGGGTCTGCCAGGATCTCACTTTGTATTTCTGTATGTATGTGTTTCCACCCTCATCCTCAGTCAGGTGATGCATCCTGTGTGCATTTTTCCGCCCTCACTCTCACTCAGATGACGCATCCCGTGTGTATTTCCGCCCTCACCCTCAAAAAAGTCATACAGAGCATCAAATAACCAGGTAAATCCTAGTGGACACTAATAGATCAGATCTTCGTTCGGTTCCAAAAATGTCTGGAGAAGTTCAGAACACAGGCGGCGGAATAGAAGAAGCTGGGAGGACTTCAGCTACCTCAACTTTTAAAACACTGAGAGAATCTCTTTTCTCTATGCGAGTCCCATCATTACTCCACCCCTCCAAAGCGTGACTTATTCCGCCATCCCCTCGTTCAGAAAAAAGTTCCTTCTTTCTACGATGGCCTCTTCCCCTAAAAAATTCCTAACTCCAGACCTGCAATTAGAGCCCATCGGGTCCCGGCCCAATCGAAAGAGTTCTATCGGGTTCCAGTCTAAAGTAAGTTTTGGTACCCGAAAGAGAAGTCTCTGCTCTTACTCACGAGTTTTTCGAAATCTTCTCAGTTCTCGATTAGATGTTTTTTATGGATTTCCTGGAAATTCTTTAAAGTCTTAGTATACCTGATCAATGTTCAGATGTAGGAGGTAGAATAGGTACAGGAGGTGGAGTAGGCACCGCAG